AACCGTTGCATGCCAAAAAAGTTAGAAAAACTCCATGAAATGGGAAAGTTCTTAGAAAGACAGATTACTCCAGAATAACTTGAAAAATAATTCCAAAAGAAATTGAAAGTCTAAATAGACTCATAACAACAAATATGGATATTAGTAACCATTATAAAAATATTAACTCCACACAGAGAAAAGCCCATCCCAATGGTTCCGCTGATGAAAGATACCAAACAGCAACAGAATTAATACGCATCCTTCACAAAGGAACAAAAGATGGGTGTCAGGGATTCTCCTGTTTTGCTGCCACTGAGTCCATTTCATATCTTTGTCCAACTAAGCTTTTTCCATTCCTGTGGCCAAGCCCAGAAATCAGAGCCAGCAAGACCTCAAGATGGCACCTGCCCATGGAGGTATGGGAGTGGGCTTCACACCTGTTGGTTTGGAACTGCTCCTCCCTCAGACCTAAGTTCCCCATCTTTAACCCACTAAAACCCTGTGTCCTAAACCCATAATCTTCCCACTTGCATTCTTTTCCCTGATCTCCATGTGCATAACCCCCTCCAGAGTACAGAGTGCCCCCAGAAGCCTGTAGGGAATAGAAGGGGTCTCCTCATTCTAAACTAAGATCTTAACTTAAAACAAGGAACAATTCTCAACTTACTGTGTGTGTGTGTTTGTGTGTGTGTGTGTGTGTGTGTGCATGTGTGTGTGTGTGTGATGTTTGTGTGGGGGCCTAAGCATGCCATACACGGCACACATGTAAAGTCAGAGGACAAATTTCAGACATTGGGTTTGTCTTCCCACAATGGGTTACAAAGTTTGAACTCGGGTTATGGAGCTTCTTCACCAAGCACCTTTACCTGCTGAGCCACCTTACCAGCCTCAACTCATTACTCAAGGTCAGTGCTACTCTGACTGAAATCTAAGAAAACTACCACACATATACAAAATCCAGACCAAGGTTTTCATAAAGATGATCACTTGGACTGAAACCAGAAACATGTAAAAAGTCCATATCAATGACCAAATGGAATTTATCCCACTAAGTACAAGGTTGGTTCAGCATGAAAATCAACATAATGAACCACAGTAATGGACTGGAAGATGTGGGTATGTGACGGTAATAAATGCAGAGAAAGCATTTGACAGAGCCAGTACACATTCATGGCCAAAAGCTGTGCCAGACAAACCAAGAACAGAGGTGTCAGTGAAAACCCCTCAACTAGCATCCTAGTCAATAATAAAAATTGTAAGCTTTTTTCAGGGATCAAGGCCAAGACAAGGACAGCCACTCTCATGGCTTTGGTGCAATATGCTACTATAAGAACTCATCAGAGAAACAAGGCCAGAAACAGAAAAAGAGAAAGGCCTTCATGTGGGAAAGGGAAAGGAAGAAGTAACTGTTTCTGTGGATGACAAGAACCTACATGTTGAAAACTCTAAAGGGTAAGCACGCGCACACACACAGACACAGACACACACACACACACACACACACACACACACACACAAGCACAGTGCAGCCTACAGACATTCCCAAGAAGTGAATGAGTGATGAGTTTTAAGGATTAGAAGTCACTCAGAGCACACCAAGTGGAGAATGGGGGAGCTAAGCTGGAGGCTATAGCAGACATGGAGAACTTCCATCAATTGGATCAAGCGCTTTTCTCTCAGCCATCTCATCCCTGCCTGTAGAGTGAAACACTTTCCCAGTATGATGTCTATCCACATTAATATTCAACACTGTGCATAAGCACATTGTCAAGATTCTAGTAAACCCCCATCAGTGAATGCTTCTCCTGCCATGACTTCTGAGATACTAAGAGTGTATGTGTTCGGTTATGAAGCTTGAGCCGGGAGGCAGTGTGGCTGCTTGTGTGGTATGCGTTCAAACCTCCAGCCTCTGCAGTGGGCATTCCATGGATGTGGTGAGAATAGGGACTGAGCTAAAAAAAAATTAATAAATGCAAATTTTTATCAAGTGTCTATTTTGTACAATATCTATGCTAAGCACTTTGTATCTTTCAATTTTCCAAAACCCAGCCCCCAAAGGTAGATTCTTTTAATAGCCTCGATTTTAGGGCAAGGAAATAAATGTTCAAAGAGCAAGTTCCCATTGTAAGATGTACTTGCATGTAAACTCAGAACTCATATATGGAATATTTTCTTTACCAAAAGATTAAGAAAACAAACTGAACTTAGAGGTACTTATCCGGCCAACATTTCACCAAGCTGCTATATGCAGAGTGCCATAGGGACAGTACAGTACTGTGCCATCACCCTTACTCAATGGCTGCCAGCCTTCATGCTCTCTGGATCTTGCCAGCCACTGAGCAAGGGTGTGTCTCACAGGAGATGGGATGGTAGGGCTGTCTAGAGAGCAGGTGCCCACAGTACCCTTGAGGACCAGCTGGAGAGCAGGTGCCTCCCTGAGGAATAGTCACTGTGGAGGCAGGTACCAAAAGTGCAAAGAACTCAACCTCAAATGAATATATGATTTCAATCTTTCAGTAGTGCCCATTCCATAGTAATAAGTTGCATCACTAAATCATTTATTAGGACATGGCAGATTTCCAGTTTAGAATAAAAAAGAAAGTCTTCTTGTTTTAGCTGCATTACAAGACTTGAGTCCGGGGATGGGGGAAATTCCTCCATATGAGCATCATCAAGTGGCACAATGTGACAGGAACTATGAACTCGCCATTACAGACTGTATACACATTTTCTCTTCAAGGTTTTTATGTTTACCGTTTATCTTCTTCAAGTACAGATAGGAGAATATGATGTCCGGTGCCATATTAAAGAACTGCAATAAAACTAAATCCATGGAGGTTACATGAGAGCCAGAGGAGGTGGAGAACAAGGAGACTGTCAGTGTGTGTCACGGAGATGGTCCGTCATGTTTTCAGCTATGGGAATTTGACAAAAGCACTAGAGAAAATGAGTCAACGTCCTGGTATTCCTTCAAGATGCCTTGTGAACAGGGGCTTTGAAACAGTTTACGATGTAATCACTGCAGCTGTAGAAAATCCTCTGGTCTAGAAGGAAGAAAGGAAATAAAAACGTGAAGACTTGAGAAGAAAGCATTGCATATGTGCAAAGCAAATGATTTAATGACGTTCTTTTTCCATTAAATGAGCCAGGAGATCACAGACTAAAAATCACTTAAATATGATTTTAAAATTAATTATGCTTCACCCCATAATACTATTTAAATTGCATTTAAATTGTTTATTCATGCATTGGACTTGTCAAACAGGAAATGTGTCTCACCCTCACTGGGTGTGCAGAGCCTGGCTTGTAAATACATTCAGTGTGGTCCAAGAGTTCCATTCAGCATTGGCAAACAAGGTGGCAGGGAACCTAAGTGCAATATCCCTTCATCAGAGAGTGTGCCGAGTGCCATGGTCGGTGCAAACTTGTTAAATAATTATGCCAAAATTAATTTCATCATTCTTGTGCCAGATTTGAATCTTGATAAATAATGAACAAATACTATAAACTTTCAGATGATAAGAAATATTATTACAAAATGGGTCTCCATCCTTAATGATGTCTTAGCTATTCGCCAATACCAAGACCTCCTTCAAAGTTTTAATAGAAGCTCAGACTTGTACCTTTCTATATAAGTTTTTTTAGGAGGAGGGGAGAGATCTGTTGCAAAGGAAACTACGATTGACCTCCTGGACTCTCCAAAGACCGCCTCACCCCAGTGGGCTTTAAACGACCTTCTGAAGACCCCTCCCCCCAAGGACAGGGAGCCACATGGCTCCAAAATGTAGCGCCACAAGCAAGTGATGTTTAACAGCCATTACAGAAGTGTAAAGACTGCAATGAAACCTAAGAAAAAGTGTAAAACCAACCCTAATTAAGTCACTTCCTAAAAGGCCAGGCTTGACTCTGCAAACCTTCCCTAAGGAGAGTTGCAAGAGCTGAGAGAAAGCAGATGTGCGGTTTCCCAGGCAGTGAGGAAATCATGGTGAAGGGAGTTCCGTGTGTCTTCCACCTATCAATAGCACTAGAAGCACTGAGAGCAATAATCAATAAGTCATATCGCCCAAATCCATAGTGTGACCATTCTGCAGGGAAATCAATCGTCCTGTTATAAGCAGGCTGCTCCGAAGATTTTATTGAGAGATTTTTTTTCTCTAATGTTAAGCATGATGGTTCTATTTGGTGCTCTTTTAATTAAAAGCAGACAGGCTCTGCCAGCCACATCCCAGCTCTGCCTGCACCTGATTGCACAATAACATGCACAAATATTTGTGTTTGTTTTAACATTGTGCTAATTTATGTTTTATGTCATCCTGATTGCCTGAATCCAACTCGTTAAACAAAGCATGCCATTACATCCTAAAGGATATTAAATTATGATGCTGGCTACTATTCTTTTCTGTATCATAATTTAGATAAGGGATCTAATTTGTTCCACATCTTTCATTTATGGCACACAGTGTGTCCTGCTTGGTGTTCAGATGGTCCCTGGAGTACATTTAAAATGAGTGCTGGCCACCTCAAATCCACTGTAGATGTGTCTCTCTCAGCCATTCACATCTGGCAGACATTTGCTGATGTTAACTGAGGGGAGAGCCAGATACCAATACTAAGATTGATTTCAAATGTATAAGTATAAGAGCTGAGAGATTGTTCGGTTGGCTATGCATGAGGACTGAGTTAAGATCCACAGCACCCACATAAAAAGTCAGGTGAGGTAGCATGTAGCTGTAATTCTCACTCTGGGGAGGCAGAGACAGGAAGATCTCTGGAGCTGGGTGGCCAGCCAGTCTTGCTGAATTGGTGAGCTCCAGGTTCAGTGACAAACCCTGTCTCAAAACTAAGATTAAAAGGCTGGCAAGATGCCTCAGCAGGTAAAGGTGCTTGCTGCCATGCCTGACAACCTGAGTTCAATCCCCATGACCCACATGGTATGGGAGGACTGAATTCCTCAAGTTGTCCTCTTACCTCCACACACATGCTATGGCATGTACATGTGCACGCACACACACACACACACACACACACACACACACACAAATGGTATAATTTTTATATACTTTTAAATTTAATTTTTGCAACTTTCATACAATAAAATTTGATGGTACTTAGATCCCCTCCTCTATCTGCACTTCCCCTTATAATGTACTCTAATACATTTTACATATAT